CTCAGCGGCCGGCTGCTAGCACGTGCAGGCTGGGACGCTGTGTGCAACCCGCCTGCATGTGCAGGATATGACGCAGTGTGCCGTGAGCAGAATGGTGCAGGCCGTGAGCATGCATGCGACTCTCAGCAGCCTAGCCGTGAGCCTGAGTAGTTCCTGGTTCCATCCCGGTTCCGTAAGGAGCTGCAATTTTTTTTTTTCTTCGCGAGCCATATGTGGCTCGCAAGCTGCAAGTTGGCCACCACTGCTCTAAATTGTCCCTAGCCTCTATTTGAAAAAAGTCGCACAAAAATAGGATACAGAGATTTTTCAGATTGTAACTTTAAAATTGATATGTTATATGAATGGTTTTGCATAAAGCATCTTTGAGCTATGCATATTCATATCCATAAATCAATTTTCATAAAGGATACAGAAACTTTATGGCATAACAACTTGCAACTCCTCCTAGATCAGAATTAAGGATGTTAAAATTTGGATAATTGATTAGTCGACCAGTCAATAGGCACTTCCACATTCCTCCTTCCGGTGAGGCTCTTGTACATTTCAAAGGAGGAATGCAGAACTCCATGTACAGCCCAGGGCCAGCAGGAAGTCCCACTGACTCCAGGCTGCACGCGAGTGCCTGCTTTGAAATGGGCTGTGCATTTCAAAACCATGGAGCCTGAAGTCAGCAGGGGCTACACTGCATGCCACTAGGAGCCCAGGGTCAGCTGAGGACTCCCTAGCTGATCCCGGGCTCCGTGTGGCATTTCCCCAGAACCCAGGGTCAGCTGGGGACTCCCCAACTGACCCTGGGTTCTGAGGAAATGCTACACAGAGCCTGGGATCAGCTGGGGAGTCCCCAGCTGACCCCAGGCTCCACTGCTGCACCTTTGAAACGTGCAGAGGTGGCGTTTTAAAGGGGCAGCCGCTGCACAGCTGATCCATGGACCTAGGACAAGATACCTTCACCCTCTCTCGCATACGCTAGCCTGACCTAACCTAACCCGACGCCCCGAAGCAACAACAGCAACGGGCGTTTCACAGGTTATTATAGGCTACGCTCATGCATATGCATGAGGGTTTAAGTTTAAAATGATTGGTCTGGTATAGGATTCTTCATTAGCATACTTTATGAACCAATAAGAACAATCAAAACACTTATTATTAATGAGATAACAGACTCTTGCTATGAATATTCATGAAGCAACGGGTTTCACCCATGAATATTCATGTACACTTTCGAATTTGAAATGAAACAGTTACTATAGACTAATAACTAATAAACAAAATCAGATAACAGTTATAAAGCCAATGGTGTCATGATGCAATACATATTGGCCAGGCTTCCTTTTTAAATAAGATACTATGTCAAACACAAAATGTTTCAGCGTTGTCTTTATTTATGAGAGGGGCGGGGAATCTGTTTTGAGTCAGGGGTCACTGACCCTCAGAAAAGTCAGTTGGGGCTACACAAGTGAGATGCAAAAAAACAACCCCTCCCAAACCCCCCAAGCCTCACTACTGTGGTCCCAACTGTGCTGGTGGGGGGCAGGGGACCAGGTGCTGGGGCAGGGTATTCAAGGGGGGAGGCCTGGCAAGGACAGAGACAGCTGGGGCCAGTACCTGGGGATCCTGGGTCTCAGGTAGCGCACTGGCTGCTCTTCCCCTTCCCTCCCCCAGGCATCTCCCTTGCTCTAACCCAATCCCCCTCCCCTTCCCTAAAGTCAGGCACACACGCATGCACATGCACACAGAGTCCAATCCCCCTCCCCTTCCCCAGAGCCAGGCACACACACCCCAAACCCAATCCACCCCCCAGAGCCAGGCACTTGCAGCAAGTAGATCCTGAAATCTTATTCAAACTCTTATACTGCAGTTAAGAGGTTAGGTAATTGAAAAAAATTGAATAAAAATGGAGACCAAGACTGATACTACACCTCTGACATCTTGCAGTTTCAGGTGTCATGCAGTGTTTCCCTTACAGGAGATCTGATAGAGGTCTATGAAATCATAGTGTGGAAAAAGGAAAGAAGTGTTGTTTACGCCTCATAACATAAGAACTGAGGGTAACCAAATGAAATAAATGGCAACAAGTTTAAAACAAACAAAAGGAAGCATTTCTTCACACAATGCATAGTCAACCCTTGGAACTTTTTGCAAGAAGATGATGTGAACGCTAAGACTAATACAGGGTTCAAAAAAGAACTAGATACATTTGCCGAGAATAAGTCCATCATTGGCTTATTAGCCAGGATGTGCCTCTGAAGTGTCCCTACCCTCTATTTGCCAGAAGCTGGGAATGAGCAAGAGCGAATGGATCACTTGATGATTATCTGTTCTTTTCATCCCCTCTGAAGCACTTGGCTAAAAATAGGATACAGAGATTTTTCAGATTGTAACTTTAAAATTGATATGTTATATGAATGGTTTTGCATAAAGCATCTTTGAGCTATGCATATTCATATCCATAAATCAATTTTCATAAAGGATACAGAAACTTTATGGCATGACAACTTGCAACTCCTCCTAGATCAGAATTAAGGATGTTAAAATTCGGATAATTGATTAGTCGACCAGTCAATAGGCACTTCCACATTCCTCCTTCCGGTGAGGCTCTTGTACATTTCAAAGGAGGAATGCAGAACTCCATGTACAGCCCAGGGCCAGCAGGAAGTCCCACTGACTCCAGGCTGCACGCGAGTGCCTGCTTTGAAATGGGCTGTGCATTTCAAAACCATGGAGCCTGAAGTCAGCAGGGGCTACACTGCATGCCACTAGGAGCCCAGGGTCAGCTGAGGACTCCCTAGCTGATCCCGGGCTCCGTGTGGCATTTCCCCAGAACCCAGGGTCAGCTGGGGACTCCCCAACTGACCCTGGGTTCTGAGGAAATGCTACACAGAGCCTGGGATCAGCTGGGGAGTCCCCAGCTGACCCCAGGCTCCACTGCTGCACCTTTGAAACGTGCAGAGGTGGCGTTTTAAAGGGGCAGCCGCTGCACAGCTGATCCATGGACCTAGGACAAGATACCTTCACCCTCTCTCGCATACGCTAGCCTGACCTAACCTAACCCGACGCCCCGAAGCAACAACAGCAACGGGCGTTTCACAGGTTATTATAGGCTACGCTCATGCATATGCATGAGGGTTTAAGTTTAAAATTATTGGTCTGGTATAGGATTCTTCATTAGCATACTTTATGAACCAATAAGAACAATCAAAACACTTATTATTAATGAGATAACAGACTCTTGCTATGAATATTCATGAAGGAACGGGTTTCACCCATGAATACTCATGTACACTTTCAAATTTGAAATGAAACTGTTACTATAGACAACTAATAAACAAAATCAGATGAGTTATAAAGCCAATGGTGTCATGACATAATACATGTGGTCACAGACATGCATAGTTATAATAATAATAATATATATAATGGTGCTAATACACAGGTTGCATCTAGGCTGATTATACAGAGCATTAATAAGATGTACTTATGCAAGCAATTATACATATTTCAACAATTCTGCTTAACAGCTGTGCAATGCTGCAACTTTGAAGTACCCTTCCCCTTCCTCCCCCCCGCGCTTTTGCTGCCTGTATTTCATAGAAAGAAAGATCTGGCCGGGAGGGGAGGGGGACACAAAGACAGCTAGGGCCAGTACCTGGGGATCCCGGGTCTCAGGAAGCGCGCTGGCTGCTCTTCCCCTTCCCTCCCCCAGGCATACCCCCCACTCTAACCCAATCCCCCTCCCTTTCCCCAGAGTCAGGCACACACACCCCCAACCCAATCCCCCTCCCGCCCCCCACTCTAACCTAGTTCTTGGGTCCTAGAGGCGAAGTCATTGCCACTACAGCCATGCGCGTCTCCCTCTAGGCACTGGGGCATGTGCGCTGAGTGGCTGGCTATGAGCATGAGCTGGCTGG